AAATGTCTTCCTGTGATACTGCAATAACCAGTGGTCTGGGCAATGGAAGAGATGAATATTTAATAAGGGAAGAAAAATGTCCCAAAAGCCGAATATCACACAAAACCCCATGTAAGAAGTAGGAGCAGCCTCAGCTTAGACTCTGTCCAGGCCACACCCTCCAACTCCACCCACGGGGTTTAGTCATGGGGATAAAGATTCCATGGACAAGGGGAATAAATGCATCATTGGTTGTCGCTTTATTAAGAAGAATGAGTGTCAGGCGAATGTCTGCCAATCATAGGGATAATAAAACATGAAAATCCGGCACATGGCCATTCAAAGAAATGTCCACCCTCAGTTCTTGTGTAGGTTCACAGTGAATTGAATGCCTTTCTTTGCAGAGAGCCCTTTATTGTACGGCTTTATCAAGCAACAGAGGTGCTTTAACTGTGAATACCCAACAGATCACAAGTGACTATCCATCCCCCTGCCTGCAGGTTGTTTCATATCTGGGTTTTTAGCTACAACATTCATTTTTTGGGGGCTATCTTTGGAAACAACATCTTGGATCCCAGACCAAAGTCAAAATGTAATGGTTGACACAATGACAATGGGAAATCACTGTTTTATATCTCAGGGTTGGAGCATTCAGAGGTAAACTGAGACCCTCCATCAGTTGGAGAATGACATGTCCCTTTATACCTAATCATAGAAGACTGGAAGGATTTGCTAAGCTATTTAGCTCTTCAATGGCTGGGAAGCCAAAGGTTGCCTTGGCCAGCAATGCTTATTACCTCTTTCCCCTTGACTGAGACGGGGATCTAACATCTCCATTCTCCTGAGGCTGTAAGTTCTCCAAGCCGTAATTCCAATGATTCTGCACAGCTATACTTTGTCAAGCTGAACATGTAGACCAGCCAGTCTCAACCGTGGTTCCATGGAACCATAAAGTTCCTTCAAAAGTCACTAGGGGTTCCCTAGCTGTGGATGATTGCCGTTCACTTTGATGGTGTCTGCATAGTATTCCAGGGTCAATGCCATAAGTACAACACCAATGGTCATTTTTGCTGTCTGGAAGGGTGGCATTCTGACCAACACTGGAAGGGTTGCATTCTTCCTACTGACCACCAAAGCGGGGGGTGTTTTTCCACTGACTCCAATGAATTTGGTTTAATAATGGTTCCCTTAGACCTAAGGAATTATTTTAGAGGTTCTCCTGGGGTAAAAAGGTTGTGAAAGGCTGATATAGACATTGCAGCCATGACTGAAGATCTCTGTGGCCAACATTAGTCTTTGCTTCCATGCCAATGCTCATTATCCTATGTTTGTTAACTTCTGCTATTCAGACTGGTTGCATCTCTTGCAAGACCCCCAAAATATACATGTTGCTGAAAAGAATTAGACCAACATGAGTTACATAATCAATTCTGTGCATTGCAGTTTCGAAGTCCCATTCTTTCATTGCCATCATGCAACGAATGTTTCCTGAAATCCTTTTTATCAGACATAAGCAAGGAGCAAACTAGGGATGAGTGAAAGTCTACACTCTATCTCTACAAAACTTGGGTTCAACAGAACACTGAAAGAGTTTACTGGACCTACCAATACTCTACACAAGTGTCTTCATACTTTCCAGAAGCCCAACCTACTAACATCCATTAAAAACATGGAATGCAGAAACTCAAGAAATGCTGACAATGTTTCGAAGAAAGGCACAAAAGATGAAATGGTTTTGTATTGCTGTTGAAAGGATGCTTTGTCATCTCTTTGGCTGTTCATTTTTTTGTCCTCTACTCGTCCTGATTCTTTTTTTTTTTCTCGAGTACATGGTGAACCAAGTCTTCGGGGACCATGTATGTGTGTCAGCCTTATTGTGTGATGACTGTCCAAGAGGGTCTCTAGAGGGAGGAGGATTTCTCTAATGCAGTTACATACAGAAAAGGGACAGACCATACTGGAATCCATACTTCTTTTATCCGAGTCCACAGAAAACGTCAGCATGGTATTGGCAATATGTGCGTTGTGTTTGTGTGGTGCTTTCAGGGTAACGTCGTGCTGAGCCTTGCTGCACCCGCTGTTCATGTAGTCTTTCATGTCAGGTCCTAGTCACCATGAACAGGATGCCTGGGGAGTGCAAGTAAGGATCTTCTGCTCATTGCTAGAGATTAGGACTTCATGGTGCAAATGGGAACAACAATGACCAGAATGACTGTGCAGGCAGCTGCCGTGATGAGTGCCGCCATTTTACAGACCTTGGCTCGTCGAAACTCGGCTTCTTTCCTCTTTAACAGAGAATCGTAACCTGGAGTGTAGATGTCCTCCATCCAGAACTCCAAATTGTTTGGATTCAGGGATTCTTGAGCCTGTTAAATACAAGATGGATCATGACAATGTTACCAGATTGTGCCCAGTTGGTTACAATTCAATACACAACATGATTTCTGCTAAGATCCCCTAATATCTGCATATATTATGAAGTGTTCCTGCATGGCGACCACTTCCTGTCATCTCACATATATATTCTTATTATAGCCAAATTTACCACCCTAACTCCTCCCACAGTTTTTACAGTACATAGACAGTAATATACCGAAACGTGCGGATTGTTCCTGATTGGTGCGCTATTACTTTGTGGTGCGTTTTTGCCAAATGGTTCACAAAATATTGGCGTTTTTGTGGTGAAATTGGTCCCATAGGAATGAATGGCGGAATGTTCAAAACTACAGTGTGAGCTGACAAAAGCTAGAGTGTGAGCTGAAAAATCAGGACATGATTTCTAAACTGCCATCACTCCCTCATTTTCAAGCCCACCTACACAATTTTATATCCAAACGTTCAGCTATCCATGCTGCCACTAAAAATGTCCACGGCTAAGCCATAGTCCTGATAGTTTTCACAATATGACCATTTGTTTGCAACTCACGCCGCCCATTGACATTCATTGAAACTCTACTCTAGCCACCTCAAATTTGAAGGGCAATTTCTAAACTGCGACTGTGCCTTCATTTTTAATATTTCAGAGACATACTATGCATCAAAATGTAGGTCTGGGTCTTGTGATTCGCACAATATAAAGCTCTTCAGTGTAGGATTTATAATTGTTAAACTACAACCATTTGAAGATGGAAAGTTGGAGCAGTTTGTTTTTAACCGCTCTTCTCTGCCCTTGCTCTAGAGTGAGTTGCCATAGGAACCCAGGGGTGTGAGCAGGCAGCAGAGTGACAAGCCACTCCACCCAGTTACTCCGCCCGCTCCAGTTGTAGACTACTGGTGGAGGCAAGAACACTTCACACAATTTTCCCAGAAATTGTAGCTTTTCTAGTTATTATTACTATACAGTATTTATGGCGCCAACAGTTTGCTCAGCAATTTACAATATAACAGGAGACAATACAGCAACAATACAGTTCAATACAAGAGGGGAAGGAGGGCCCTGAACCTGGGAGCTTACACTCTAGGAGATATTATTGGATTAATCTAGTATGATAGTGTGGTGTGCTCATGACCTCTAGGGCGTGTACATATTTGCATACTTGTTTATTGTGATCAGGGTAAAAAAAAAAACGGTCAGTTGCAAGAAAAAGTATGTGAACCCCTTGGGATTACGTGGATTTTGCATGAATGGGCATAAAATGTTCTGAACGTCATCAAAAATGCATCTGCCAATTGTAGGCATAAAATGTGCTCTTTTGAAACTCATCAAAAATGGCTTAGTGGTGTCATCCCATGTACTCCATTCTTGAGATTTAGATCTGTCAACAAAAATGTTAGCATGTGCCAGAGATTTAGGTCTTTAGCTGACACTCTGGGATTCTTCTTTACCTCATGCAGCATTCTGCGCTGTGCTCTTGCAGTCATTTTACAGGACGACCACGCCTAGGGAGAGTAGCAACAGTGCTAAACTTTCTCCATTTGTAGACAGTCTGTCTTACCGTGGACACATGAACATCAAGGCTTTTGGAGATACTTTTGTAACCCTTTCCAGCTTCATGCAAGTCAACAATTTTTGATCGTAGGTCTTCTGAGAGCTCTTTTCTGCGAGGCATGGTTCACATCAGACAGTGCTTCTTGAAACCAGTAAACCCAAAACAGGTGTCAGCAACACATCCAATATCATCACACTGATTGGAGTCAAGGTTGTCTCACTCCTGGCTCCAATTAGCTCTGGGAGAAGTCATTAAGCTAGGGCCTCACATACTTTTTCCTCCCTGCACTGTGAATGTTTACATGTTATGTGCAATTAAACCATGGCAACATCTAATGTTTGTGTAGTATTATGTTCAGCAGACTGTGTTCTTCTATTGTTGTGACATAGATGACGTTCAGAGCACAATTTAGGCCCAATTCATGCAAAACTCTTTTAGGGCGCACATTAGTGTGTTTGGTGTATTCATCAGCCACTAAGCCAGGTATGGGCAGCATGAAGGTTTCCGGGTATTGTGTACAGCTCATCCGGGGAGGAATCTTCATAGAGATTATTATTATTATTGTTATACAGGATTTATGGCGCCAACAGTTTGCTCAGCGCTTTACAATATAACGGGAGACAATACAGCAACAATACAGTTCAATACAAGAGGGATAGGGGGGCCCTGATCCTGGGAGCTTACAATCTAAGAGGGAGGGGCTGGTGGTACAAAAGGTAGTAACTGTGCGGGATGGACTGGTTGGAAGAGTAGAAGATTCCATTATTAGCTGAGGGCAGGATAGGCTTCCCTGAAGAGAGGTTTTCAGAGATCGCCTAAAAGTGAGCAGAATAGGCGATAGTCTGATAAATTAGGATAGAGAGTTCCAGAGGATGGGGGAAGCTCTGGAGAAGTCTTGGAGACAAGCATGGGAGGAGGAGACAAGGGAGCTAGAGAGTAGGAGGTCTTGCGAGGAGTGGGGAGTACGGTTTGGGTGTTATTTAGAGACAAGATCGTGATGTAATTTGGGGCGGAGTTATAAATGGCTTTATACGTTATTGTTAATGTTTTGAATTTTATCCGTTGGGCAATGGGAAGCCAGTGGAGGGATTGGCAGAGAGGGATGGAGGACACTGAGTGGAGGCCAGTGGAGGGATTGGTACAGAGGGGTGGAGGACACTGAGTGGAGGTCAGTGGAGGGATTGGCAGAGAGGGAGGGATGGAGGACACACTGAGTGGAGGCCAGTGGAGGGATTGGCAGAGAGGGGTGGAGGACACTGAGTGGAGGTCAGTGGAGGGATTGGCAGAGAGGGGTGGAGGACACTGAATGGAGGCCAGTGGAGGGATTGGCAGAGAGGGATGGCAGATATGGAACGGTTAGTAAGGTGGATGAGTCTGGCAGCAGCGTTCATGATAGACTGAAGAGGGGATAGCCTGCGAAGAGGTCGGCCAATGAGGAGGGAGTTGCAATAGTCAAGGCGAGATATAACAAGGGAGTGAATAAGTTGCTTAGTGGTTTCTGTGGTTAGGAACGGCCGTATCTTGGAGATGTTGCGGAGGTTGGAGATGTTACGGAGGTTGGAGATGTTGCGGAGGTTGGAGATGTTACGGAGGTTGGAGGTTGGGAGGTTGGAGGTGTTGCGGAGGTGAAGTCTACAAGATGTGGACAGGGATTGGATTTGGGGCTGAAAGGACAGATGGGAGTCTAGGATTACACCTAGTACCCTGGCATGAGGGGAGGGACTGATGATTGTGTCGTTGATCTTGATGGAGAAGTCGGGGGAGGGGGCACGGGCTGAAGGGAATACTAAGAGCTCAGTTTTGGAAAGATTGAGTTTGAGGAAGTGGAGTGACATCCAAGATGATATGTCACTTAGTAGGTTAGTAATGCGAGAGGAGACTGAAGGGGTGAGGTGAGGAGGAGACTGAAGGGGTGAGGAGGAGGAGGAGATTGAAGGGGTGAGGCGATGGGTAGAAAGATAGATTTGTGTGTCATGAAGTAGATGACCACCCACCTGAAGATCTAGTGCAGTCAGCCGGCCTTTCTCCCCTGAGTTGTGTGTGTATTCCTCTATGGTCCATGAGGGTTGGCCCCGTTTGATCTCTGCCATCTCCGTCAGGCGCATGTCAGTGTAGATGGGATTGCTCTTCATGTGAGACTTGAGAGAGGCTGGGTATGGGTGAGGACTGAACACCTGCTCCACCAAATACGAATCCCTGGATGACTTGGGAATTCTGTGCAAATGAGGTATTTCATGTTGGCGGTCCACCTGATCAGCAGGAGAACAACACAAAAATAAACAAAAAATAATAATTTGTAATTTGCACAAAGTAAAGGAGTACAACGTCACATCGTCACGCCTCCTGTGTTCCTGTAAATGTGTATCTATCTGAGCTCGTACATCGAAAAAAAATGATGGGGGAACATAGAAATGGCCTTTCCAAAGATCTCCCATTATGGGAATAGGAACTGGTCAGGCTGAGGATCAGAATATCATTATGAACCCCAGGAGATTGGAAGGTTTTCTGGAAGACTTCAGGAAGTTTTTTTATCGAAGATTTTGCTACAAGTAAACTTCCCCTCTTGCTGGATTGCAGTCTGGCATCAATTGTTGCAGGGGCGGACTGACAACTCATGGGGCCCCCGGGCAATAGGGGATCATGGGGCCCCTGTGTCCTTGCCCATACTCAAAAAAGCCTATGAAAAAGGTATCAGGGGCATCTCATGGGGCCCCCTACTGACCCCGGGCCCTCGGGCAGTGCCCAAGTTTCCAAATGGTCAGTCCGCCCCTGAATTGTTGCCTTTCAACTGCAATTACTAGAGGTATAAACAGTGAGCAGAACTCAGAGAGAACTGAGTATCTGCTATCATGGCTTCCTGCCATTAAGGAAAAAGGGCAACCAATCAGTGTCTATCGCATACACCAGGGGTCTTCAAATTTTTCTGCACAAGGGCCACCTTCTACAAATATAGCCCCCATCAAGTCTTCCCTTACATCAGAGCCTCTTTTTACTTCTGGGTCCCCATCAGAGTCCTGCTTACATCAGGGTCCCCTTTACATTGACATCATATTGTCAGGACCAGGATCACCTACTGGTGGCACTTTGGAAGGTTATAGTTCCAGTGTCCACCAGCGTGTGTCTCCCAGCAGCCAGAAGATCCCAGTAATCAATTTCCACCTAATGCTGGGTCAAATTTGGGTCAGCACTGAGAGGCTCTGCAGATCGGTTCCTTGATACCTCCCCCTGCTCTGGAGTCTTGGAGAAGATTCTAGTAGTCGGAAGGGGGGGGGGGGGCTGGACTGCACTCTTAAGGGATCCTGACCAATCCCCAAGCAGGAGGTTTGGCATGGGGTCAGTTAGAAAGGCTGAGTAGTGGCCTGGGCAATAGTCAGCTGGGTCAAATTTGGGTCAGGGCTGAGAGGCTCTGCAGATCGGCTCCTGGATACCTCCCCCAGCTCTAGAATCTTGGAGAAGATTCTAGAAGTCTGGGGGGGGGGGGGCTGGTCTGCACTCTTAAGGGATCCTGACCAATCCCAAAGCAGGAGGTTTAGCATGGGGTCAGTTAGAAAGGCTGAGTAGCAGCCTGGGCAATAGTCAGCTGGGTCAAATTTGTGTCAGGGCTGAGAGGCTTTGCAGATCGGTTCCTTGATACCTCCCACTGCTCTGGAATCTTGGAGAAGATTCTAGAAGTCGGGGGGGGGGGCAGCTCTGCACTCTTAAGGTATCCTGACCAATCCCCAAGTAGGAGGTTCGGCATGGGGTCAGGAAAGCCCTTAAAAGTGATTGTGCCTGCTCAGTGGCAGGGAGAGTTCGGCTGGAAGATGTGAGGAAGCTGAGATGCAGGAGCCTGGGAGGGGGCCCAGTGGGAAGTGGCCTACCTACAGGCGGGACACTGGAAAGGAGGATCACCGGCTCCCAGAGCGAGAACCACCTGTAGAGCCAGGAAAGGATCCAGCCCAGGAGAAGGCCTGAAGGCAGCCACCTACCTACAGTAAATCTGCCTGCAGGACTGAGACTGAGTGAGTAGTCCTACAACCCCTGGGACAGTTAAGGGAAAAGCACTCTGGTGGGAACCCTGACTAGCTCCTTACCTGGGACTGTTTCATTTAAAGTGGCAGGCACTGGATTCTCTTGCCTTGGATTCCCTCAGGCATCTGGACAAGAGGAGGATTATCTGGGGAGGTACACCAGGAGAGGCAGGAGAGCTCTCCAAGAAGAGTTTCAGCTGTGTAAAGACTTGTACATAGTTGCTAAGAAGTTTGACCTCAGTTTGCAGTTCCATTGGGCATCCTCTACACCCCTTACCCCACCCAAGTTCAACACCCCTTAATAAAACATAAAACCAAGCTCAAGGACTGTTTTACTGACTCTGAATGCAAGTCTGTGGAAAATGTGTGTTGCCTGGCTGTGCAGGACTATAGGGGGACCCAAATCTTCAGCAACTCCTACGGGATTAGTGCTACACAGTAAAATGAATATCCCAAGGATAGATATTTAAAAAATGAATATATTTTGTTACCTCTTTTGATTTGCGGTGCCATTCTCTGCTTGACCCCCCTTTATCTTTCTTTTCTTCCTCAGATATACTAGCCTGTTTGGGAAATCCCCAAGGCCGACACTCATGTGGTGGGTTTCCAGGCTTAGTCTCACTTGTAGAAATGTCCTCCGTCAATGAACGGACTGACCTTTGTGCGAAGAGATTTTTCTTCATGGCTTTAACTCGAAGACTTTCCGTGGTTCCACTGGTACCCTCAGAACAGCAACAGTCTGTCTTGTTCTCCACATTCCCATTATGGGAGGAGTTTTGATCTTGAAATGTACTTGGAGACGCCCTTGTGCTTGAATGGGCATCACTGTGAGGTTGACCTTCAGGGTCCAATTTCCCCTTTTCAGGTGGTTGTATCCTTTCATCCAGCCTGTTTAGCTTGGCGAGCACCTGAGACACCTCGTCCCGTACCCCTGACAAGGACTCTAATTTCTTCTCGATCTCCCCAATCCTTCGAACTAGTTTTCTGACGCTGCTTTTCAGCTCTTCTTCCTCCACTGTCTCAGACCTCGGGCCCTTGGTCGGTTTGGTGTTAGATCTGTTGGCTACATGTTCTGGAGAGCTTTCATTGTCTGCTCGTGAAACTTGAGCAAGGGAACCGCTACTGTTTTATAGCAGGAGGACTGCGGTATTCCAGAAGACCCACAAAGGCTCATGTCATCCAAGAATCGGAATATGTCACTTATGTCATCACTTATAATTTCAGAGTCTGCCTCAGATTGGTTGCGGGCTCTACCTTCCATAAATCGACTACAGTTAGAGGAGATGTTGGAGTCTTTTCCCTTTTTTTTGTGTCCACCTGCTCTGTCTGAGTACCAACGCTCTCTGTCTTCTCAGTGCTGTACTGACAAGAAGGTGGTTTGGTACTCTTGTCTCTGAACCTCCTTAGGGCCTCCTGCTTTTCCACATCTTGAGGCTCACAAAATTTTTTCCCGTTAGTTTTCAATGCCAGATCGGCAAATAGGAATGATGTCGCTCAGGCACCGAAACAAAATTTGTTGTCTGCACCAAGCCAGTGGTGGGATAACACAGATTTTCTTCCTTTCGATTAAAAAATGAGCGTTCGAAATCTGGCACCTCTTCGGTGTTTAGGCTCCAGCTTTTTACCGGCTTTCCTATGAGTGGTTTTGGTTTGCTGGTAAATCTCTTTTGCTCCTGCAGCCCAGGCCCGGCGGTTGGACCAAAGTACGTGGACGCTTGGAGATCATCTAAGCTTTCGTGTTTCGACCGACGGAAGTCTTCAGAAGAAGAATAAGCCGTGTTAAGGTAGTGAGAGCTGTAAGGCATCTCAAAGCTGTGATTGAAGAACACCGTCTTGGGACTTATCTTCCCTTCGTTCTTTTTCATGGTGAGGCTGGGAGACATTCTGACCATGCTATGGAAATCGTCTTTAAAAACGTTTCTTCTCTGTCCGGTAGAGGCCGAAAGTCTAAAAGGTTCTCGCTGGGTGTAGGCGGCAGTGATTCTGGCTCAGATAATGGCTGACTAGGGAAATAGGTGCTTTGCATCTCACAAGATTGAGGAGATACCATGCCGTAAGAGTCCAAGGCCTGTAGTCTGTCCAAGGATCCAGCTCGCCCGTTGCCCTCTTGCTTGACGCCGAGGAGAAAGTTTGGTTCCGGGAGGAACGTATGACGCCCCTCGCATTCTTCCTTGTGGCAGCTGGAGGACCTGGTCATGCAGTAGCTTCTACTGGTGTCCCTCTTCTGTGTCTCCTTGTGAGGGGCTATATCCGTCCCGGCGAACACGTCACTATCAGACTCCATCGCCTCCTTCTCCTGAGTCTGCTGTTGAATCGGGATTTTCTCTTTGGCCGCCCCGTCGTTCATTTGGATCAGGTTGAATATGGTGACGATGTCCGCCGCCGCGATGATTTTTTTAGACTGTTGATTGTCCGCAGCGTTTCTCATCTTGTCCCGGAAGAGGCTCGCGGGGAAGCTCGGGTCTTGGCACGCCGTGTAATACAGGAGGCTGCGCAGCTTCGCCAGTTCAGGGAGATCGTAACGGGAACACAAAGACTTGCAGAGGTCTTGGTAGGAAACGGAGTTCTGTTTGGAGTCCAAATCCTCCAAGATTTTCACCAGAAGAAAAGAAGAGTCCTGAGCTTCCCCCATGATGATGG